AATAATACACTAATTATCTACTTACATGAGATCCTTCATAAATAGATGGCATTTTATCACAAGATGAAGTTGAAGCTTGTTCTTGCAAACAAACCTGAAATATATATATATATAAGAAATTTAGAAATACAGATATATATAAACTACATTCATTTTAAGAAATAATTATTTTACATAACATTTATAATTCATAAATAGATAATAAATTGTTAACACTCAAAAATTCAAAAAATAATTCCATAGCACAACAGCCAGATATAGTACAGCTGTTTAGCAACCATAAGACAAACAATTTCATATTTCAGAAATCGTATAAAAATTGATTAATATATGTAAAACATATGACATTTAATAGCTGCTCAAATGAAAACATAGCATAGATTCTTTACTAGCAGCTGTTATTTAATCAGAAGGTAATGCTAAATGTTGTTGCAAACACACCTGAGATGCACTGTAATGTACACATTTGCAACCACTGCTGAAATGAAATAAAGTGCATGATTATGAAGATGGAAACATTTAAAAAAAAAAAAAACATAGTACAGTTTACAAATAGATGTTAAAAAACTATTAACATTTTTTAGAAGTGCAAAATGGCAATTTACATCAGATACTTCGGCAGCAAAATTTATTTCTTCAAAATATGAAGAAGGTTGTGGCAAATGAACCTAAAAGAAATTATAATATATGAAATACGTGGAAGTGAAAGAAATTATAAACTCTGATCGGATAAAAATAAATACAAATAATCATTACCATTTTAAAAGTAACTTTTCAAACTTATAAAAAAGCATAAATACATTGGACTGTTCATAGCATTCATACTTCTTAAACATAAGTAAATATTACGTTAATATATTTTTAAAATTTTAGAAGCAGCAGTTGTTAATACTTTTTAGATAACCAGTTTGTAATACTAAATATTCAATAACTGTTCAAATGAAGACTTACAACAGATGGCTCAGCAACAGAAATCACTTCAGTTGATAAGGGTGAACTGTGCTGCAAGCCACCCTGAAGATGCACAAATTATGAAACACATATAAGTAAGGATACTTCCAAATGCTGATAAATAAAATATACTTAATGTAATTTTAATAATAAATAATTATAAATAATCCTAATAATTTTTGTTAAATCTTTAAATAAAAAATAACAACATTCAGACAAGACATATAAGACATTAGAATATAGATTTAAATCAATGTATTATAACTATATTATTGTATTACTCAAGATTAAAGTTTTAATTTCAATATTATTTCTTTTACTACTCCATACATATTTCTCTCTATTATCTGGAATTTAAAATTAAGCAAAAAAGCAACTTTAGTTTAATACAAATTTTGATTTAAACTCTTTTGACTTTGAAGGCAATCAGATACAGGTTTCTTCTTTTAGGAGCAAATTTGAAGAAACCAGATCCATGTATGATGTCCTCGAAAAACTACAAAAAACTTTATCCAAAAACTACATCAAATTGAGGTTTTATGCCTAATTTTCAATATATGATTATAATAAACAAAGTACATACTTAATTATATATATAACAACAGCAAAATTTTAATTTTTTAATCTAATCTTAGGGACTGTAATTACAGCTTTATCACATGCCGCCTTAATTTCAATATTTTGATTCTTTTATAAAGCAATTTAGTCCATTTGTAATAAAAACATTTTTTTTTTATGAAAAAACCAAAAAAATAAAAAACAACATACATTACAAAATTGGATGTAACTGAACGGTTGCTTGGTAAACCAATGCCTTTTAGACGTTGTGGGTGTCAAACAGTTGTGTGGGATTAGGCACATTGAAAAGAGTTGGCACAGCATTGGGCTTGAGTTTTTACGTCCATCTTGCCTAGAGCATTCAAATTGATTTCTTCAAAATGTACCTGCATATTTAACAAAAGCATGCATGAAATTTAACATTAAAATCAAAAGCACTAGTATTTAATTACAGTAACATATATTATAATTTAAGAATGTAATTTTCTGATAAATTTAAATTTTTTTTATGAAATAGAACAAAATTTTAAAAGGTAATCATGTTTGTAAAACTACTTAAAACATATTCCTGCTCACACACTAAAAATAAATTTAAAGTACTATAGTTAAAAAAAGGGAAAAAAATATAACATTAAGATTTACTACTACAATAAAGGATAATAATGGGATCAAAACGATTCATCGAATATTTAAATTAATATTCAACTTCTTAAAAATGTCTAAAAATACAGAATATATTTATCTTACTATAAAGAAAAAACAAAATCATTTATTATTTGGATCATACCATCCAGTTTTAACTTGGGCGCCAACTATCCGATTTGGCGACAATACATCAGAATCAAAACATAGAATGCTACTTTAAATCACCAATCGTACAGTAAAATTAAAGAAAAAGGCACATCACATTCTAAACTGAGCACAAAAGTTTACATGGAAATGTATGATACAAATTTTACAAACGGTATAAACTTTTCACGATAACAAAAGAAAACACGATATTTACTGCACAAGCACATACACATTCCGCAGTTGATTTTGTACTTATAAAATCAGTGATCGTCAATAAGTGACAGTTAAATGAAAATAAATATTTTAAAGTACCAAGAAGAGTAATTTTTCTAACATTCTATGGAAAAATACGAAGCTGAACTTACATCACAAAGATACGCTCCTGGGCCCGGGATCCATTGATCTCGACGAGAATTAACTATCCATTTTTTCGTCTTTTTCATTTCTAGGGAAACGAAACATCCTAAAGTTATTTTTAGACTGATTCGAAACAATTTGGTGCAGCACAACCACCCATATTTCTGAAAATTAGGTCGGAATCGATCCACAAATATGTCAAGAAATCAGTGCTAATCCAATAGCGAATACCAACAAGTTAGCTTCAAAATGGATGATGATTCAGCTCCCCTTTATAGACAAGCGCCTGGCCCCAGCCACCACCCAAGTTCTTATTGGACACGACTTCTGATGTCATACAGTGACCGAAAGAATTCTCCGCGGCATTATTGTGCGCCAAAAGCTTGAGCCCAAGGTCATTTTAGCGCTGAAACAGGCAAAGCGCTGGCTGACGATAGAATAATTTGCCGTATTTGGGAAAAAATTACAAAAATAAAAAGCAGCTTCAGAAATATACTGTTAATATACATAGTATTAGAAAAAACGTGAAAATCGATGTGCAGGCGATAACCGTTTAGCAGTATTTTGTCATTAGATGAATATCGTTTGACAATAAACATTTTTATGATAAAAATGACTTAAGATAAAAAAGTAATCACTTTTTATAAGTATAAAATACTTTTACAATAACACTTTTTATAAGATATAAAAGTTAAGAAACAAAACAATAATGCATAAAAAACAGCACGATAAATCCAATGACAAAGTCAAATAAACGATATTTTTAGTGCTTTAAAAATTCTTATCACTTTATCTATTTTTAACCATAAATGAAGAGAAATTAATGCCTAGAATTAGAAAAAAAAAATTAATCTGACTACGAGCAATTTTAATACCAAACAATCTCTATATAACAAACAATAAATGAAAGGAAGGTTATTTAGTTAACAAACAATTAATTTTTATAAAGCAATAACTAGCTTTTACATTTATATCACTTTTAAAAACACTTTTCTGCAAAATAAACCGCTAATTCTTTAAAACTGCGGCAGACATTATTTACACAGTAAGAGTTAAGTGCTATTTCTTGACATTGCTGACGAAGCAATGTCAAGAAATAGCATTAACAAATTATATAAAAAGGGCCGACATATTTTCTTATATTGTTAGGTTCGTTTTAATTGCAATTATTCTGTTACATCGCACAAATTCACATTAACACAGGACATAACCAAAATCCAATGTAGTTTATAAGTTCCCCTTGACATAATTCAAACGAAACAGATAATGGTATCTTTTACAGCATGGACGTCATAAACGGCAACCAATAAGAACAGGGGTGGTGCCTGGGGCCAGGCGCTTGTCCTTTATAGTAGCCTTAGCGTCAACCTCTTCGCCATGTGATTTTTTTTTGAATAGTGGCAACAGTACAAGAGTTTGGAATAGAAAAAAGCCGGTAAATATGTTTTGAAAAAGAAGCTTGTTATCGTCTCTTTCTCGTGTTTTCTTGATAATAAATTTATTTAAAGAAGTTTCTTCTTTACAGTTATTGTTAATACAGTTGTCCTTAATCAGCAAAACATATATGAATCAACTAGTTTTTGTTATCGGATAATATACTTCGGAAATTGGTGAAATGAAAGTGTCAATCTTTATTCACTGTTTTACTAAAAACTCTGGAAAAAAAATCAAAATTTCGTGCAATCGAATTGTACGTGAATGGCATAATTGGTGTAACTTCATAAATCGGACAAGGGAAAAAAAAATTATAAAATCGGACAATAAATCACATTTGTGTGAAAAATATTAAATTTATATTTAATGAAGTGTTTTTAGAAACCAAATCACTTAAACATCAAAACCAAATAAGACTGCCATAGCATGCATTGATAAGCCAGGTGAAGAAAAGACCCATTTTCAGTTCGTGCATTGCATGAATATCTGAAGTATGTAGGGTTTGTTATATGTTATCAAGGCTATCAGTCATAGTTATCTGTATACTGCATTTTCTTAGAGATATGTAACAAATCATTTTCGAAAGAGACAGTATTTTAGAAGGACTTATGCATTCGCAAAACAGAAGAAAAACCTCACGTATGTAAAGTTTGTAATCAATCATTTAGACAAAGCAGTGTTTTAAATGACCATATGGTCATTCACCAAGGAGTGAAATCTCATATGTGTGAAGTATGTAAGAAGCCATTTAGTAAATTTAGTCATTTAAAGGAGCATATGCTGATTCATACAGGAGAGAAAACCTCATGTGTGTGAAGATGTAAGATGCCATTTAGACAAATGGTTAGTTTGGAAATGCTATGCTATTCACACAGGAGAGAAACTCATATGTGTGAAGTATGTAAGAAGTCATTTTGTCAAAAGGGGAGTTTAAATGAGCATATGCTCATTCATACTGGAAAGAAACCTCATGTGTGCAAAGCATGCAAGATGTCATTTAGGCAAAAGATGGGTTTGAAAATGCATATGCGTATTCACACAGGAGAGAAGCCTCATAAGTGTGAAGTATGTAAAAAGTCATTTAGTCAAAAGGGAGGTTTAATTGAGCATATGAGTATTCATACAGGAGAGAAACCGTATAGGTGTGAAGTATGTATGAAATCATTTAGAGTAAACAGTTCTTTAAAGATGCATATGTTAATTCACACTGGAGAGAAACCTCACATGTGTGAAATATGTAAGACCACATTTAGTCGAAAGTGTAGTTTAAGAAAGCATATGCTTATTCACACCGGAGAAAAACCTCATGTTTGTGAAGTGTGTGAGCAGTCGTTTAATGAAAGATATATGTTAAACAGCCATATGCGTATTCACACTGGAGAGAAAACTCATATGTGTAAAGTATGTAACAAGTTATTTAGAAGAAAGGATCATTTGAATGAGCATATACTTATTCACACAGGAGAGAAACCTCATGTGTGTGAAATATGCAAGAAATCGTTTAATAAAAGATATAATTGGAAAAAGCATATGCTTATCCACACAGAGAAACCTCATATGTGTGAACTATGTAAGAAAATGTTCAGTGTAAAGGATAGTTTAAAGAAGCATATGCTTATTCACATGCTACAGAAATCGTATATGTGTGAAGTATGTAAGAAGACGTTTAGCAAAAAAGGCCGTTTAAACAGGCATATGTTAATTCACGCTCGAGAGAAACCTTATGTGTGCGATGTATGTAAGAAGTCATTTAATCAAAAGAACAATTTAAATGTGCATATGCTAATTCACTTAGGAAAGAAACCTCATCTGTAAGTTATCTAAAATTTTATTTGTATATAAAGATGATTTAAATGTGGGTACCACATTCAAGAGAAATGTCATGAGTTATATGTGTAACAAGTCATTTGAAGCAGTGAAGAATTTGAAGAAATGTAGAGGAAAGTGCAGAATCACCCACTGCTTGGCACATTTTAAAGAATTGCAGAAACTCAGTATATCATGTACACATCGACCTATTTTGACATGAAAAAATTGCACAAATTCGGCATTGCACTTTCCCTGGACTTTACTAGTCCATTTACACATCGATGTATTTTCACTTAAAAAGTCAAAGGAAATTGTCAAAAATCCAATTCCTCCTACTCTTGTAAAAAGTGCCAAATAAGTGGCCGATTCTGCACTTCACCCGAAATGTATGTTTATCCATGCAGAACTTCCTCTCTTTTCAGCATATATTAGTAACAAGTTTTATTTAGCCTTTCAGTAAGCATTTCTGTTTGCAGCCAAGAAACCTAATTATGCAAATTCAAACCTGGTTTGATTGCATCAGATGACAGGATTTATGGGCAGCAAAATTTTTAGACTTAAATACTCAGTGGCATAATTTAGGTTCTGCAGAGATTATACTGAATGGCATAAAACCTACCGGTGACCCTGAGTGAGGTATGTCAATTCTCATTTGATCAAAATAAGTAAATAAACCATTTTTTTCACAAAGAAGACATTTTTTATGATAATTAGTGTTTTCATTATGTTGTCTAACAAAATGTGCAGTTTATTTGAGTAATTTTAACTCTGAAATTCTAAAATATGCCAAAATGTTTCATCCCATATACATACTGTAAATTGTATGAAACTTCTCTCTTTCTTAATTTAATATAGATATGAATCCAGGTCTGACATTAATGATAGAAATGTTGTCTTTTGTGCCTGTAGTGAAAAATGTGTTAGATATTTTCTTTCATGGTGAACAGTTATTGAAGACCATGACGATGCAGCTTTAGTATAAAATGTTTCAGTGTATAACATTCACAAAAGAAGCACAGGCTTCTACAGGAACTTTGAAAGGCAAAATGAGATCTCAGATATTTTCAATACAATCTTGAACATATCAACTGGAGCAATCCCATGTGTGTAAAGCATATAGAAAGACATTTGTGAAAACTAGGAAAACTCAGATAAGCGGCACTTTGCGCAATTTTTTCTGCCATCTTGAAGTGCGAAAAATCGCCATATCCTCAGGAGGAATTTTTTGACGCCAAGAGGAAAATGGCATCAAAAAGCACTTTCCAAAACTTTCTTCTTCAGCTCAATATTGTGGGTGGGGGGGGGAGGGGGGGGAAGCTCTGTTGGGCAAAAATAGCGCAAGGCAAAGTGTAGTGTTTGCGTTGAGAAGGTAAACCATACATATAGAACAAATTGTAAATGGTTAGTTATTGTTGTGATTAAGTAAATCTACATACTTTTTTTAACCTAGTATTTTTATATTATAATATATATATATAACTCCAACATTATTAACTTTTATACTCCAACATTATTAACTCTTACCATTAATTTGAACAATTATCTGAAATAATGTTATGTATGTTTGAAAACATGTTCTTTATATAAATTCAGTAATGACCACAAAAATGCGATATATATCGCATAGTTAAAGATGAAAGTTTAAAAAAATAAAATATGCATATATTTCCACGATAATATTCCATCCTCGAAATCTATTGCAGGCTGTTTGGGTAAAGTGCAGAATCGCTCACTTATTTGGCGCGCTGTGTTTGGCGCTTTTTACGAGATTGATAAGTGTGTCAAATGTGGTATCCAAGTCGATTTTGCTGTTCTGGAAGGTGAATTTCAGAGCATATTAGTATGTATTTTAAACTGAAAATTTCTTTTGAGTGTGAAATTCGGAGCATTTTCCTGCATGCTCAGTATGTATTTTAAAATTTAGAATTTCTGATTGGTGTAGATGATAATAGATGGTTTAGAGGTGCAGTTATTTGAACAATAATTTGAGAACATTTCGAGAATTCGTTTTCGGTCTTCGGCTGAGCGGAATCAATTACCACTTTTCATATAAGTGAAAGTATTTTAAATTGATAAAGTTTAGTTTAGGGTACCTCTTGGCGATTTTTGGCGGCACATGGATACCGATTTTGTGCAATTCTTTGACTCGTTATTTTGGTTTGGCGATTTTTACCCCAAAAATCGTCGCTACACAAAGCCAAAATAACAAGACAAACAATTGCACAAACTCGGTATCCATGTACACATCGACTTATTTTCACTTTAAAAAAATCCCCTAATTGCACAAAAATGGCATTGCACACTCCTTTGACTTTAGCCATGTACACGTCGACCTATTTTCACTTAAAAAAATCCCCAAATTGCACAAAAATGGCATTGCACACTCTTTTAACTTTAGCCATGTACATGTCAACCTATTTTCACTTAAAAAAAGTCCCAGAATTGCACAAACTTGCATTGTGCACTCCCTTTACATTGTCCATGTACACATCGATATATTTTCACTTAAAAAGTCAAAGGAGCACCAAGTTCTACAATATAGGCAAAATAAAAAATACATAATCTCAATAAAATAACATAAAAAGGAAAAAACATGTTAACATTTAAGCACTACCAAAAGCAAATATTCACTTACCATTATTTTCGAGTTCGCTTCGTACACCCAGAGCCACGTAAAAATCAAAATATCAATCATACTCAAATGACTTTTTTCAAACCCAGGTACTCTTTCTGATCGAACGCTTCAC